CCCTTCCGCCCTGACCCTCACCCTCACCTGACCAGCGCCCCTTCTCATAGAGCCCGGGCCACCGGGCACTTTCTCCTGCGGGAGGACTGCCCGGCCCCGCTCCTGCCCGCCTCTCCGTGGAGAAGGTGCAGGCTGGGCGGGAATCCCTGAGAGACCAGCCCAGCCAGAGACATGGCTTCTGAGGACCCAGTCAGGCACATGGGGCATTTGTGGGTTTTATTTTGTTTTGTTGTTGTTTTAATTTATTAATTTGAGAGAGAGAGGAAGAGAGAGAAATATCGATTTGTTGTGCCACCCATTCATGCATCCACTGGTTGATTCCTGTATGTGCCCTGACCAGGAATCAACCTGAAACCCTGGTGCCTCAGATGATGCTCCAACCAACTGAGCCACCCGGTCAGGCAGGCCATTTGTTTTGCGTTTTTGTTTTGTTTTTAATTAAAAGATATTTATTGCCCGGCTGGTGTAGCTCAGTGATTGAGCATCGACCCAGGAACCAAGATGTCAGGGGCACATGCCCGGGTTGCAGGCTTGATCCCTAGTAGGGGGCATGCAGGAGGCAGACAACTGATAATGTTTCTCTCTCGTCAGTGTTTCTATCTCTCTATCCCTCTCCCTTCTTCTTTTTCTAAAAATCAATGAAAACATATTTGAGGGGGAAAAAAGATATTTACTGAATACCCAGCATGTACCAGATGCTGCAGGCTCTGGAAATAGAACCATGGACAGACAGATGGTTCCAAACCCACAAAGCTTACTAACCAGCAGCAAAGAGACAAATAATGGGAAACAAGTGTGAGGGTGTGATGAGGGAGGAGAGCTGTGTCAGGAATCACCTCCCTGAGGAAGTTCAGGCAGTTCTGAGGGACCACTCTGTGCCAGGCATTGGTCTGGGGAAATAACAGTAAACAAAACTGACCAAAATATCTCTGCCTACATGGAGCTTGCATTCTAGTGAGAGGAGACAGACAATGAACACAAGGTGTAGGCATGCTCTAACAAGAATCCCCTGCGAGCCCTTGTGGTTTTTGTTGTTGTTGATCCTCACCTGAGGACATTTTTTCAATGGTTTTTAGAGAGTGAAAGGGAGGAGAGACAGAGAGAAACATTGTTATGAGAGAGACACATTGATGAGTTGCCTCCCACATGCAGCAGGGGATCGAGCCTGCAACCGAGGTATGTGCCCTTGACTGGAATCGAACCCAGGACCCTTCAGTCTGTGGGCCAATGCTCTGTCCACTGACCCAAACCAGCTGAGCACTGTGAGCCCTTTGTCTTGAGGCTTCTTATCTTCTGTTGGGCCAGTGGAATCCTAGGGGAGGTCTTAGGAGAGGGTCTCAATAGAATGTTCATTAGCTTTTCAGGTGTGTCCTTCAATATATTGATTCATCAGAATGTGCAGACAGAGGGGTCGGGGGTTAGTTTTACTTTTAACGAACATTATTGAAGAGGGACCAGACCGAGGCTGGTCTGCCCCAGGACAGTCTGGAGTGTGTAAACAATTTGCTCCTAAGTGTCCTTGGTTAGGGAAGATAAAACCTTGTGATTCATTAGCTGGCTGTAAATTGCTCAAAGTGTTTGGCCTTAATTATTTTGTCTCGGTTTCCCTTATTCCACTTTTCAAGGAATTTCCCCAGCTTCTTCCTATCCTGCCACAAGAGGAGGAAGCTATGGAGGGGCAAGTCTGGGGGCAGTGGAGATCAGGAGGTCAGTTTTGACGTGTACAGTTTGAAATGGCCATTCAATGTCCACGTGGAGATGGCAAGTAGGCAGTTGGAATACACGGGTCTGGAGTTTGGGAGAGAGGTCTGGACTGGAGATAAATATTTAGTCATCAGCATGTAGCTGGATTGATTCTAAAGCCTTCAGGAGGGGTGAAATCTCACCCAGGGGTGAGTGTAGATGGAAAAGAAAGGACTACCACATCTTCAGCATTTAGAGTTTGCAGAAATGAGGGAGAACCTACTACGAACATTGAGAAGGAGCAGAGAGAGAGAGAGGAGAAAACCAGGAGTGTGATGGTCTGGAAGCCAAGCAAAAAAAAAAAAAAGCAAGTCAGGGAAGAGCAAGTGCCTAGGGGTCCAGAACTGACCATTGAATTTAGCCAAGAACTCACTGGGGACCTGGGCAAGAATGGTTTCTTGGAGCTTGATTGGAATCAGCTCAAAAAAGTGGGGTTGCTCTGGCTGGTGTGGCTCAGTTGATTGGGTGTCATTTCATGCTCTGCAAGGTTGCTGGTTCGATTCCTGGTCAGGGCACATGCCTGGGTTTCGGGCTCGATCCTCTGTAGGGGGTGTGCAGGAGGCAGCCAATCAATGTTTTGCTCTCACATTGATGTTTCTCTCTCTCTCTCTCTCTAAATATCAATAAAAATATTTTGTTAAAAGTGGGAACTATGCCTTATAGGCAACTCTTGTAGAATTTTGTGAGGAATGGGGGAGACCTGAAGATTCTGGAGCAGTGAGGGGAACCAGCTGGAACTGACAGAGCTGAAGGCAGAACTGTTGGAGACCAACCTCTATGATGGGGTCTCAAAGGGTCTTGTCACTCAAGCTCTTTGGAGTTTGGACTTTATCATGGAGCAAGGGGCAGCCACCGAAGGATTGCTCGGCGAGCTTTTGCAGGCTCACGCACGTAGAGTGCAGAGTGGGCTGAAAGGGCAAGATAACACAGGGGAGGATTTAAGAGGCCTGGACTGTGTGTGGTGGCTGTGGGCAGGGAAAGAAGTGTGCAGATGTAAAAATATTTAGGCAGTGGAAGGAGCAGGGCTGTGTTCCGTCAGATGTGGGCAGGGAGGGGTCAAGGTTGACTCCTAAGATACTGCTATGGCAGGGGGGGAGGGAGGTATTACTTTTTATTCATAAAGGGAATGCTGAGAGAGGAGGAGGAGGGGGCAGGGAATAAGAATTCTGATTTGGATCCATGAAGCCTGCCGCGCCTATACGCCTCCAGATGGAACGTGCACTTGGCGGATTGCAGGAGCACAAGGAAAGCCTATGGCCTGAGCCACCTGGGGGCATCCATGACCCCAGGGCTAAATGCTGAACTAAAAGCACACCTATTGAGGGAGGGAAGCGTCCCACTGTAGGGGTTGTCCCCTCTGAGGCGGTCTCTCGGCCCTAAAACATCTGGCTAATCTCTCCATAAAGTATTCCTCTGGCACCTGCAGAAATAAATGTAGGCACAGCAGTCTTGGAGATCTCTCATGCCAAAAAAATGTTAGGCTAAAGACTTCTCCAGGCTTGTTGCATGTTTACAACCACAGGCACAAACAGAGACCAGCCTGGCCCTGTGCTGCAGGTGAAATTAAGTTTAATGCTAGAGATTGCCGTGACCAGAGCGACCTCCCCGCCCCCCTGTCTCCTTGCCATCCTTGTGCCCTCTTCTTCACCCAGGGAACCCAGGACAGGCCGAATTTCTGTGCCCCTCGCCCCATCCTCCACCTGGACTGGTTTATTTTGTCCTCCTGGATCACCTGCCCGCCCCACCCACTGTCCCTGCTCAACCAAGTCCCTCAAGCCTCTTTTCCCTGCAGACTCCTGAGCCAGCAGGACTTTCCCTAAGGACTGAAGAAGCAGACGCTGCAAGCAAAAGCCAGGACTCACACCCCCAGTATAGCCCAGTCCTCAAAAAGGAGAAGCCCAGAGCCCTCACGCAGAAAGAGGGGGGCAGCGAGCCAAAGGAGGTATTGGGCTGGAGGAACTGGGAGAAGGCGGGGCAGGGGGAGGTGAGGACCCAGGAGACAAAAAGGAGGCATGGCCAGTGAGGAGTGGGGCCACTGGGAGGAGGGGGGGGTCTGCAGAGGGCACGAGCTCTGGGTGGGCTCCTGCCGCGACCCTACCTGGTTGCTCTGACCCACTCTCCTCCCTGGCGTCACTCTCTCCTAGCCCTCCCAGCCGCCTAGACCCAAGCCTCCTGTCCCCGCCAAACCTCTGCTGTCCTCCGAAGCCTACACAAGCCCAGCGCCAAGACTTTGCCGGACCCTGCCCGCCAAGCCCTCCAACCCCATCTACCACGAGCCAGATGAACCCATAGCCTTCTATGCTATGGGCCGGGGCAGCCCTGGGGAAGCCCCCAGCAACATTTACGCCGAGGTGGAGGTGGAGATGGAGGTGCCATCAGGGGGTGAGGGCCCATCGTGCATCCTCTGGCACCCAGTCCTCCGGAAGTGCCGGTCCAGGCCTCTCCCAGGAAGACAGGTAAATGGGGGAGCAGGGAAAAGCTAGATCACAGGAAGGACTTCCTGAAAGCTGGTTTGGGAAGGGTTCAGATTGGATGCCTGGGTCAGGGTGAAGGTCAGCGGTCTGAGGTGAGATGGGGAGGACAGAGTCCAGGCTGCCAGCACTCCTTTTGCAGGCCCAGCGATTGCTCCCGCTCCTCTTCCTGGAGTCACTGGGACCCTTTGCCAAGTCCCCACCCCCTTCCACCTCTCAGCAGTTCATCCCTTCCTAATTCACAGAGAAAACAGAGGCCCCAGCAAGCCCCCGAAGGCCTTCCACACAGAGCCTGTGTTTTGGTTGGTGTCCATCTCACCCAGCTTGTCTTCTTAAACCCACCTGAGTCTGACCCCAACCTGTGCCCCCCCATCCTCTCCTTCCCAGTCTGAACTTGGGCTCCCTCCCCCAGCCTTTATCAGCCTGCCCATCCTGAAGAAGAGACTTGTGCCGTCTCAGATGAGCACATGCCCTCCACCCCACCCCCAGCGCACACTCCCCTCTCCCTTTTCCATCCCTCCACCTCCCCGGTCTTCTCACTGGTCAGTTCAAGTCAGTATGTCATGGGCTGCTCCCACCCCCTCCCGCTGCCCCCTCACCTCAGGCCCTTTCCCACTCTCTCTCCCTGCTGGTGCCCCAGGCTCCCCCCAGCCCTCGGATCTGTTCACACTCACCCACACCCCTGCCACCTGCTGCCATCCTAGAGCTGATGTCACCAGTCCGTGTCTCTATCCAAACTTCTCTTCAGGCTTCTGCTCAACTCCCCAGTGTCCCACGGCCTCTCGAACTCAGCACAGCCAGCACTGCCCCAGCCTTTTCCCCGACTGCTCCCTCCCCAGTGCCCTATCTGGATCAATAACCCTCCAGCCACCCAACCACCCAAGTCAGAATCCTACGGCTCCTTCCACATCTTCCCTTTTCACCCCCATTCCCCTATATCACTGGTTTCTGCTGGGTCTCCTCCCAAATATAGTTTTCCTTTCCCCAGTTTCAAGCCCCATTTCTCTCATCAGGACTTTTCCAAGAGCTTCTTAGCTGGTCTCTAACCACCAGTCTTGCCACTTCTGACCCACTGTACCCCAAGGAAGCCAGAAGGGTCTTTCTAAAACGGCTTCCTGGCCCATGCGGCCCTCCGTACTCGGAGGGAGGGTGCCCCCTCCTCAGCTTGATCGCCCTCCCTCCCAGAACTGGTCATGTTTCTCCAAGTAGCCCAAGTGGTTTCAAGCCTCCTGGGGCTGGCACACGCCAGCCCCTCTGCCCGTACCAACTTCCGGCAAGTACACCCTCCTGCCGCTTGGGACCTTCCTGCTCATCCTACAAGACTAGCTTGCCCTTCTCCTCTGGGAGGACTTCCCTGACCTGACCACAGAGGTGTCCACTGTGTTTTATACACACCTGCCACGCCACTGAGCAGCTGGACACTGGCTTCCCCTTGCCCGGCCGAGTGTGAGTTCCCTGAGGGCAGGGCTGGGACTTACTCCCCTGTTTCCAGAGCACCCAGCACAGTGCCTGGCAGAGCAGGTGCTCAGGACATGTTTGTTGAATGAACGAGAGGGACTTAGCCCTCCTCTGTGCAGGCCAGTGTCTGTTGAGACCAGATGTCTTGGCCTGTGAGGCTGCAGTTAGGCCTAAAAGGCAGAGGGTCGAGGGTGTGCCCTAAGACTGTCCTTCTCTCTCCAGAATCCAGGTGGCCAGCAACTGCATTCCGAGAACTCTGTGGCTGGACAAGGCCCTCCCGTGCCCCGCCAGCCCCTGCCTCTCTGGGGACACAGCCTCCCTCACAACCTAGACAGGAGTTCCAGGACAGAGGAAAGACGTGGCCCTCCCTAGGGCCTCCTCAGGAGCCAGTGTCTGAGCGGAGGGAGGCTAACCTGGAACAGCAGGTCCAGAGAACTTCACACACACCCAGGTGCCCTCCTAAGGAAATGTGGATGGAACAAGGTGATCGATCCAAGCGGGAAAGGACCTCAGCTGTCACCTATTGCAAAGACGGCAAAAATGTGTCACCTTGTATCCCAACTCCAGTCCATTGGTCCTTGCTGCCTAAGGCTCTAAGGCGCTGCCTTGGAAAGGATGTTAAGGTCATATCTGAACTCAGCAGAACAGAGCACCGTGATTGATTAGTGATGTCTGCTATGGGTGAGGGAAGGAAGAGGAGCAGCATTTTTTTTTTCCCTTATTGATCAAGTCCAACTCCCTTGCTGTGCAGATAAGGAAACAAAGCCAGTGGGATGACTTGGCTGAGGTCAAGGACTAGGACCCAGGCCTCCTAAGCCCCTCGTTTAGTGCTGTGTTCCTGACCCCACCTCCACTGTCTTCACAGGAAATGTCAGAACTTTCCTAAGGCAGGAAGTCTGGTGGCTTTCCTGGGTTCCACCGCATTGGGTCCCGGGTGCTGGTTCCCTTCCTCCAGATCCCAGCATAGCCCTGTTATCCTGACAGGTCTGGGCCTCCCACACAGAAGCCCGGAGGTCAGAGGAGCAAATGTGGAACCCACTTCCTTTTAGGGACACACTCACCGCTCCCTCCCAGAGTCCTCAGTATTTGGTGCTCCTCTGAGGATGTGGGCTGGGAGGGCCTGCTGCCTCCCACTGCCCCGGCCTCTCCGCACGGAGTCTGATTTCCTTGGTCCTCTGAGCCTTTGGGTCTGGGCCCTGGTCCAATGCTGCTGCTGTCTGGGGGTTGGTTTGGCGAGAACAGATGTTAGAACTTGTTTGTTGATTCTTGTCTGGCTAATAAATCATCACCAACCACCTCCCCCTACAGCGATGCAGGTACTCCAGGCTCCTTCTGTCTCTGACTCTCCCATGTTGTGGAAGGCAGAGGGGTCAGGGGCTGAGAGACACCTGCGCAAGGGTCACAGATCTGTTGGCAGGAGACACGAGACAAGGGACACAGACCTTTCTCTGGAAAGTATTCCTTCCCTAACTGGGTTGGGCTAGGCAGGCAGCCAGGGCCAGAGGGTGGCTCTATCTCCTGTGGATGCCAGGAGAGAAAGAGGGGCAAGCACAAGACTGGGAAGGGGAGAGTGCACTGCCAGCCTGTGTGTGAGCCCTTAGGCTTGGAGGACGAGCGGCCCCAAGACTCTTTTGTGTCTTCCAAGCAAGGCCAAGACCAAGGCCATCGGCTTCTGCCTCAGTTGGAACCCAGTTCTCTTCCCTTTTGTGAAGCATCCTCTGCCCAGACCCACTTCAGGGCAGCCTCGGCCCCAGGGCAGAACCCGTATTCTGGGCCTCAACCACCTGGAATAATCTGCCCTGGGTCTTATTTTTGTCTCAGACTGGGGGCTCTTTGCGGCAGGATGTCTGCCCCTGGGTTGCCCTCAGGACTCAGAACAGAGACTGCCCCCCACCCACCCCAAAGCCACTCAGGCCCAGGTACTCCAGTGGTCCTGTCTGTGCAGCCTGCTCAAGGCAATCAGTGCCTGTCAGGGCTCCTTCTCCTGCCAGAGGCACAGAAATCCCCTGGCCTAGGTGCTGCAGCCATCACGCCACCCCCAGCCTGGTGCAGGTGCCAGCTCCAGTGACAAGCGAATTCCCCTCCTTTCCACTCCAATGCTAATCAGCTTAAGGAGGAATATGGTTGCTGAGTCAACAGAGCTGGGGTTCCACTTCCTGCTGCCTGTAGGTCTAAACCCCCTCCTGAGCAAGAGGAGAGGGAGGGAGGAAAGGGAGCAGATGGTTTACATACATCAGAGGCCGAAAGTGCAAGGAAGGTCTCAGATTAGACTCAGGGAGTCATCTAGTGGCTGATTCCTTGTAGCAGGGGGAGGAGGCAGAGAAAGGAGTTCGCTGTATAGCAAGAGCTGGACCTCAGAAAGTCAGAAAACTCGCTGTGGCAGGATGGGCAGGTGCTGGGAGGAGGCAGGACTGCCTAGGGACCCACTTGGTGTTTCTGAAGGAGCAAAGCCTGCTAGAGGCGGGCAGAGTGGGACCCAGTGACCCTCCGTCTCCCTCTCCTTCCCGCAGCCTGGGGTGGGCTCACGGAGTGGTGGCGAGAGAATCCAGATGATGGCATCCAAAGCCCTGGGTTCCCGGGGTGGCTCTGTGCTAACTGGCTGCATAACCTTTGCAGGAAACCTTTTCTCTGCGTCTGTCCATTCCCCACATTCCTTTGAAATGGAAGTAATGCCTCCTTATTTGCACACAGGGCTGCTGTACAGCTCAGACAAGACCATCAGAATGAAGGGCTTGGCAGAGCAGGGCTGCTAGGGCTAACAGGGACCTCAGACCCCTGTGACTGACTTCGGTTCAACTAAATAGGAAACTGAGGTCTAGAGAGGGGAAGTGACCGGGAGTTGGACGCAGTCAAGCCCAGATCATGTCATCCCAACCCAGGGCTCTCCCTTAGACCACAGGGCCCCACCCTCCCGAGAGCTCCAGCTGCAGGCCCAGCCCTGAGGACCGAGGTGGTGGGGCCTCCTTCCCCTCACCAAAATCATGACCCCAGCACCATGCTGCTCGCTCACTGCCAAGCTAAGGTCTGAGGCTGTGGTGGGACCTCAGGATGAAGGTAACTTTTATAGGAAAATGAGCTGGAGCCATTGTGCTGAGGGTGGGGGTGGGGGTGGGGTGGGGCATTTCCCTGCTAATCTTCCCATGGCCAGTCCATCCCTCCTCTGCCTTCTCCGGGCAGGGCTTTCTCTGGCACAGCCCACTCTCAGGTCTGAGGGGAGTCTCCCACCCCCAGCTCCAGGTCCCCTTCAGAGCCTGAAGAAAGACCACACCTCCCAGCTCCAGCCCCTTCAGCACCATGGCTGACCCTAACAACTGTCCATATTGTCCTGCTCCTGCCTCCCCTAACCTGCCCCTTTCATCCTATCTACTCCCTCAGCGAAAGCAGAAGACAATCTCAGTAAGGTGTCCTATAATCCTGGCTCAGGGGCGGGGGGTGGGGGGGCGGTGAAAAGAACTCCATAACCTCAGCTATCCCAATTCCACAGCATATCGCTGCCCATGAACCCACTCGTCAGAGGCCCCACCTTCAACCATCTCTCCTGGCCTGAGAACACGGGACCCTACTTGAAAGCTGAGGGAGGAGAGGGTAAAACAGGTGGAAGCAGGTAGCACAGAGCTTCCCAAGCCCACAGAACTGCAACCATTCCCTCCAAGAGACTGTGGCTTCTTGGACAGCAAGCTCAGCACCCAAGGGGAGAAGACCTGGCCAGGTCCCCTCCCCAGGGCCAAAGGCTGTGGGGCAGAAGCTGAAAACCCTGACAGCCTTGCCGTCTCTGTGCAGTTTCTAAGCTGGATCCCTGTGTAGCTCAGCTTCCTAGGCTCTACGGTCCGGTCAATACACTGGAACTGTGCCCCAGTCCCTCCAAAATCTGCCAGCGACTGGGACCCATCTCCGACATTCTCCACCCCTCCTCCCTCTGCCCTCTGGTGGTTGCTGCCTGCCAACTCTAACCAAGTGCCATTCCTTACGCCTCCTCTCTCCCTCATCCCTGTCTTCTCTTTCCTGTTTGTTTACCAGACTTGAGGCTACTACCACCCAGAAGCTGTCAACTTTCTAACCTGTCAAATTTCTCTTGGTGACCAAGAAATTCCACCCACTAAATAAAATGTCATTGTTGACAGAACTAAAAAGTGGCTTTTAAAAAAAGTGGCTTAAAATGACTTTCAGGGAATCAAAGGAGGCGGAAGGCAAAGGGAACCTAAAAAATATCTGGCCTGTCATTCCCAGAAGACACTGGGCTCTCCCGACCTACCATGTCCTGCCTCCCTGCACAGAGCCCTTCCCGCTACATCACGATGCGACCCCAAGAATGAGAAGTTGACTGCAGTCCCAGGAGTATGGCACCGCAGGAGCAGGGCTGCACCTGTAGCATAATGGACACAGGAAAGAGCACTTGACTCCTCAGGATCACAGACAGTTTGGCCCTGTTAAACCTGCCTCACCACCTAAGACACCCAGAGGGGCGATCTCAGTCCCCAGTGCCTCTGTGGATGATGGGAGTGGTGGGGCTAATGCACCGATTTTGACAACTGCAGCCTGAAGGTCCCTGAGGGATCCAAGAGCCCTGTCTGGCTCCAACCCCAAAGTAGGTCAGATTTCAGATAAGTGGGTGGTTTTCCTGTAAGTGATGAAACCCTCCACTGCACTTAATGGCAAACAGACTCAACTTACCCAGCACACAGGACCAGGATGGTGAGAGGCCACACGGCTGCCTCTTCCCTCTCAGCCCCAAGTCCCCACCACACACTTAAACTGCCCCTCTGGCCTTAACCTTCCTGTCACCAGGACTGTCAAAAACCAATTCCTCTGTATATTCCCTGCTCCGAACCTGCAAATGGAGTCAAGCATCTCTGTCCAATCAGTGCTCCTCTGGTTGGCACCCAAGGCCTTTCTTCTCACAGGAGTGTCTTCAATACTCTCTTCCTGTCGGACACCACTGCGGTTAAGCCCCACTGGAGTCCCAGTATCCTCAGCAACACATTTCAGGAAAATCTGCACACAGTTTTGTGACCAGTGCACGCACCTTCCCTCCCTCCGCGCACCCTCCCTGGCAGGGAGGAACCATGCCTTCCTTCCATCTTGTCACTCTGGGCATCACAGAGCCTGACAGCTAACTGAATCCATAGACCCCACCAGCCCCCTTCTCCAACCACCCACCCAAACCAGCCCTTTCTTGCTGGCAAACAGCTAGGGATCCAGAAGCCTCCCAGACTTGTCCAGCCCCCAAGCTCTATGCAAAGCTCCCAAACCAGTCTAGGCCAACTACCAGTGAAAACTTAAATCAGAGAAGGCATTTCCCTACTTTACCTCTTGCTGGAATGGATTTTATGTCTAACAACTCTTTCATGTCACAGAAAGAACCTCCTGACTTCCCCAATATTCAGAGACACCTGAGAACAGCAGTATTTCCCATGTTTGGGATCACAGGCTCCTGCCCCAAACACAATTTACATACAACTCCTGGGTCTTCAATGGCCACGAACCTAGTTTCTCTATACCTACTTTAGGTCCAGAGAAACAAAGGCAAGATCATCATCGAGGCAACTCACGCTGGCCGGGAGTGCTTTACACAAGGTAAAAGCAGACACAGGGACAGGATACCAAATGAGAGAGGTCCAAAATGAAAAAGGAGGCCATACAAAAAAGTAGGAAAGGAGGTAGGGCAGGCAGCATCTGTCAGACTGAATGTTTTATTTCAACAGACATCCCTGGTTAAAAAAAAAAAAGGTGGAGGGAGGGGTTCAACATTTCATCACACCCAATAGGGAGCAAATTCCCATCCAAGAACTCTGAGCCCCTTCTGAGGCATCACTCGAGTCTTTGCTAGCTCCAAGACAGAAAGGAGCTGAGTTTTCTAACTTTTGTAAGAAAAATCTATCAAATATGTTCATTCTCGCAGAGGCGAGGGCTAGATCCTCGAGGAAAGAGGTCCTGGGCTTGGAGCAGCCGGTGTCCCCGAGGGGCCGGGGCCAGCGGGCTACTAGAGACCCTGGGATCTGCAGTCAGGTCCGGAGCCTAGAACCCGTACTTGGCTTGGGTTTGCCGGCGGCTGAGCTTGTTCTCGGACCAAGTGTTCTTCAGCTCCAGCTCTCGCTCCTTAGCCTGTGGCAAGGAAAAAGGGGCAGGGGAGAGTCAAACTGAGGTGTTTCTTTTTGTGTGTATGTGTTCTTATATACATTTCTTTATTGATTTCAGAGAGGAAGGGAGAGGGAGAAAGAGATAGAAACATCAATGATGAGAGAGAATCATTGATCGGCTGCCTCCTGAATGCCCCCTACTGGGGATCAAGCCCTCAACCCAGGAATGAGCCCTTGGCCGGAATCGAACTTGGGAACCTTCAGTCCACAGGCTGACGCTCTATCCACTGAGCAAAACCGGCCAGGGCTGAGTTGTTTTTGTTAAAGAATATTTTTAAATTTTTTTAAACTTATTTTAGAGAGGAAGGTAGAGGGAGAGAGAGATAGAAACATCAATGATGAGAGAAAATCACTGATTGGCTGCCTCTTGCACACCCCCCACTGGGGATTGAGCCCACAATCTGAGCATGTGCCCTGAACCAAGAATCGAACCATGTCCTCCCAAACTAGACAAAACAATCAATAAAAGAAAAAGAAAATTATAGGCCAATATCACTGATGAACATAAATGCAAAAATCCTCAACAAGTCCAGCCAGTGTGACTCAGCAATTGAATGTCGACCCATGAACCAAAAGGCCGCTGGTTCAATTTCCAGTTGGGGCACATGCCCAGGGTTGCAAGCTCGATCCCCAGTAGGGGGCATGCAGGAGGCAGCCATCAATGATTCTCTCATCATTGATGTTTCTCTCTCTCTCCTTCTCCCTTCCTCTCTGAAATCAATAAAAATTTTTTTTAAATATAATAAAATACAGCACAGGGAATATAGTCAATCTATATATATAAAAGCTTAAGCGACCAAACGACCAACCAGTTGACCAGTCGCTATGATGCGCACTGACTACCAGGGGGCAGATGCTCAATGCAGGAGCTGCCCCCTGGTGGTCAGTGCGTTCCACAGCCAACCTCCCGCAGTTCCTCCCCCAAGCCAACTGCCCCGATCAGCCCCCACTGGGACTGGGTGAGATGGCCCCAATCAGCCCCAATCGCCAGCCAGGCCAAGGGATCCCCAGCCGTGCACGAATTTGTGCACCAGACCTCTAGTCCTATCTAATAAAAGACAAAAAGGGTAATTAACCGTACCTCCACTACACTTCCCATTGGCTAATCAGCGTGATATGCAAATTAACTGCCAACCAAGATGGCAGCCGGCAGCCACGCAGCTGAAGCGAACATGAGGCTTGCTTGCTCTAGTGATGGAGGAAGCCAAGGTTCCCCGCCGGCCGCGGCCCGGCTCTGAGCCCCAGAAGCAACAATGTTTCAATTATAGAAGCTAAACAAACTTTCAGCCGGCTGGGGCCTCAGAGCTGGGAGCGCCAGTGACGGCAACAATATTTCAATTATAGAAGGTAAATAAATCCCAGAATAAAAAAAGAAAAGAAAAAAAGGAGAGGCTGGGAGCTTCAGATGCCCGCCAGCCTGAAAATGGCCCTCAGCCCCTCACCCAGACTGGCCAGGCACCCCAGTGGGGACCCCCACCCTGAAGGGGGTGTGACCAGCTGCAAACAGCCATCAGCCCCTCACCCAGGCTGGCCAGGCACCCAAGCGGGATCCCCTCCCTGATCCGGGAAACCCTTCAAGGCAAACCAGCCGGCCCCCACCCGTGCACCAGGCCTCTATCCTATATAGTAAAAGGGTAATATACAAACTGACCCTAACAGCAGAAAGACTGGGAATGACTGGTCACTATGACCCACAATGACCACCAGGGGGCAGACGCTCAATGCAGGAGCTGCCCTCTGGTGGTCAGTCCACTCTCACATGGGGGAGCTCTGCCCAGCCACAAGCCAGGCTGATGGCTGCCAGTACAGCGGTGGTGGTAGGAGCCTCTCCTGCCTCCTCAGCAGCGCTAAGGATGTCTGACTGCAGCTTAGGTCTGCTCCCCGCTGGCAAATGGACATCCCCCGAGGGCTGCCGGGCTGCCAGGCTGCCAGAGGGATGTCTGATTGCCATCTTAGGCCCAATCCCCCAGGGAGCAAGCCTAAGCCAGCAAGTGGTCATCCCCCGAGGGGTCCCAGACTGCGAGAGGGCACAGGCTGGGCTGAGGGACCCCCCTGAGTGCACAAATTTTTGTGCTCCAGGCCTCTAGTATTATAATAACTATGTATGGTGCCAGATGAGTACTAGACTTATTGGGGGAACCACTTCATAAATTACATAAATGTCTAACCACTATGCTGGACACCTGAAACTAATATAAATTAAACTAAAATAAAATTTTAAAACCCTGTGATAAACTATTTCACTCCTTCTACGTTTATGTTTTGGACATACTGAGTTTATTTTAAGCACCTGTACCTGAGTCTTACATGAAGTGAGAATGACACAGAGTAGTAATTCTGAAGGGCACACACACTCCTAGTGGCCACATGGAGAATGGCAGAGGATGCCTTCCCAGAGTTGGTGCCTGGCACCTGGGCTTTTAGCTCAGCCTTTAAATTCTCAGGTTTATAGGGATCCTGCCAGGCAGGCCAGGGCTCTCAGTGCTCTCACCTGATGAATCAGATATGTGATCTGGTGTTTCCGCCGCTGCTGGCCTGTTGGCTGCTCACCTTTCTTCTGCAAGAGAAGACAACACAACCATTAAGCCACAGTAAGAAAAGCAGAAGTTTTTCAGGGGCCCAGATGGTGCAATGATGGGGAATGGGAAACCAAAGACACTGCCCAAGTCCTGGGGGGAAGAGTGTGTCTGGAGCTGTTTTTATGCCTATACACTTACAAAGCAATTATTTTTATTAAAGCTCTTATGCAAAAAACCCAAGCTCAGAATACTTGCCTGAAATAGCCTGCTAATATCCCCATTAGACTGGAAATACTCTGTCAGAACTCTGTCTTCTATTTCTTAATAACCCCATCCCACCCCCACACCAAGCTCTGCCCACAGTGAACACTTGATACCAGTTGTATTGCCTATAGTCCATCTAAAACGGCTTAAGTGCCAGAGCATAGGCCTCCCTCCCCTCTCACAACCCCTCAAGCCTGTTCATCTCTGTCCCCTACTCCCCAGTCAGTCCAGATGTCTAGCCTGTCTCTTACCTACTGTTTACCAAACTCTCTACCATCAGACTCTCTACCTTTGGCTAAATCTCCACCTCCCCCATCCTAGTAAGTACCAACAGCTTCCCTGGAACTAGAATTTTCACCACCTCTCCACCTCTCTCCAATCATCCAACCTCCACCCAAAGTACCAACAGCTTCCCTGGAACTAGAATTTTCACCATCTCTCCAATCATCCAACCTCCACCCGTAACTGCACTGAACCACTAACCGAATTATGATGCAAAAGATCTACTGTCAAAATCTGTATTGGTCTGGGCTTTCATTCTGTGCTTTTTCTGTCCTCTGCCAGTGTTGTCTCAGACTAGAAGCTTCCTAATTAGCCCCACCCAACTCCCAAAACTCTCTGGAGTCTCCTCAGCACTTAAGTAATCAATTTGCACTGTAATCATTTACGCTCAAGTGTCCTTAAATCTGTTTTCCCCAACTACACTGTAAACTCCGCAGGGACAAGATCCACATCTTTATCTTCGTTTTTATTTTTACTTTATTTTTTTAAATATGTTTTTTATTCATTTCAAGAGAGTAAGGAAGAAGGAAAGATAGAAACATCAGTGAGAGAGAATCATGGATTTGCCCCCTGCTGCACACCCCCTACTGGGGATCAAGCCCGAAACCTGGGCATGTGCCCTGGTGCCCTGACCAAGAATCGAACCGTGACCTCCTGGTTCATGGGTCAGTGCTCAACCACTGAACCACACTGGCCGGGCTTATTTTTATTTTTTCTAATCCTCACTAGAGAATACATTTATTGATTTTAGAGAGAGGAAGGAAGCAAGAGAGAGAGAGAGAAACATCGATCAGTTGCCTCCTGTACATGCCCCAACTGGGAACCAAACCCACTCCAACTGGGGACCGAACCCACTCCCAACAGGAGACTGAACCCACAACCTAAGTATGGGCCCTGACTGGAAATAGAACCTTCGACATTTCGGTGTACAAGATGATAACAACCAACTGAGCCACAACGGCTAGGGCCTGTCTTCTTTTTAAAAAATCTAGCTCAATACAATGAGATGGTGGAACGAAAACTTAGACCAGGGAAAATAGCAAACTCCAATTCCTTGCTGCTTTTAATGTCATTTAATGTGACAGTTAAAGATGAGAAACATAAAACATCCAGCGCCATCCTTGGCCCACGGTGAGCGTTAACAGCAGTTGCTATTACTATGTGATAACTCTCTCCACCCACAGTTAGTAGAGCATGCTCTAAGTGGTTTTTCCAGTAAACAGTGATGGATCTACGCTGATCTAACCACTATCCTTTGCTCAGTCCTATATGACCGCCAGCATTCAGTTAAAACAAATGGCTAGGGCTCAGATGGCCATCTGTGGCTGCAAATAAAACAAACGAGAGAAGAAGGGAATAAGATGCCCGACCTTGGCCTTGCTGGTGCTGGGCTGGAATCCAAGGTTTCCCCACCTTCTCCCCCACTGTGGCAGACTCATAAATGTCCACGTTTGCTGTACTCAGCTACTAGGTGAAGAGATGGTCATCATTCTGAAAGATGACAACTAGTCCCAAGAAGGTGGGAGTGTGGTGTGGGAATATGAGGGATATAGCGTATGAAAAGACCCCACAAGTGCCCTGGCCAGTGTGGCTCTGTTGGTTGATTGTCATCCTGTGCACCAAAAGGTTATTGGTTTGATTCCCAGTCAGGGCAAATGCCCAGGTTGTGGGTTCAATCCCCGGTCAGGGTATGTGCGGGAGGCAGCTGAACGATGTTTCTCTCTGACATCAATGTTTCTCTCTCTCCTCTCTCCTTTCTTCTCTCTCTAAAATCAATAAAAACATTAAAAAAAAAAAAAAAGGACCACAGGTGGCTACAATAAATAATGGAAAAGTAAGACCACAGACGGCTACAATAAAAAAATAAAGGAGAGCGGCTCTCTCTAAAATCAATAAAAACATTAAAAAAAAAAAAGACCACAGATGGCTACAATAAATAATGGGAAAAAAAGACCACAGATGGCTACAATAAATAAATAAAGGAGAGAGGAGGGGTTGCACACTGAGAACCTAGGACCCCAGGACTTCTGAGCTCTGTGGTGCCCATACCTCAAAGATATGCTGAGCTGGGTCCCAGCTTAATGGGATGGAGAAAGGGCATGACAGTAGGGAGAGGGTAGGGTGGCTATGGATTCTATCCAGCCAGGGAAGAGGCCACAACATATTAGCATCTTCCCAACTGGGAAACTGCTCCACCATTTCATCTCAGCAACCAGACTCCACCGTCCAGATGGAGAGCAACGTGCTGCAAAGTTCTGGAAGCAGGAGCAGTGTCTGTGAGGCTCAGTGCGTACGCTAATACCACTGACAACAGGTGTTTGCTAAATGTGTCGCTGACAGTAACAGTAGGGAGCAGGACCAAATTTTGCTCTGGGGCCTCCCAAGTTTGCCACTCAATAGATCTTTCCCACTTACTTTGCTGAATGACTTCATGGATTTCTCTTCTGTCAATGACTTGGTCATCCACTGCTGGGCCCCACTGAGCTGGTCATCACCTTTGATCTCCACAAAGTTGATCTCCTCCCTCCCTCGGTTCCTCTTGCCCTGCAGCCGCTTAAACTGGAAAAGGAGAAAAAATGCAGGAGTGGGGGATTAGGATTAGGAGATGTGGCTAAGGACCCATATGTTATCAAATCATTTCGTGACTCCCCAATTCCCCTGCATCCTCATTTCCCCTCTATAATATCTGATTTCACCCTGCCCACTACCAAGCTGCCCTGATGCCAGATGCATGGCTACTTCTCAGTTCTCCTGGACTCAGGGAAAGGAAGGTCAAGAGACATTTCCAAACATAAGTGAGTACTGAGAATAATTTTATGAATTTGTACTCAAATTACTATAAATTGTATCTGCCTAAAGGATTGCATGCAGTTTTCAAATGAACAATTTGGGATTAAAAAAAAAAATCTAGGAATTCTCCTCTGCAAATCAGTTATTTTTACATGTCTGTTCCTTCTCACTGGTTTGGTATCACCAATTCAGCAGACCCCACACCAGAGCAGACATCAGAGAGGGAAAACATGGAGCTGCATAGAGAGGGAGCTTCATAGGAAAAGGCCTGGCAAATTTTCTAGGAGACCACTCACTCCTCTTTCCTCTTCCCCCTCACGAAGCACATAGATCATTCCACAGTCACCCAAAGATGTTCCGGGAAGGGAGTGTGGGTGCTGAGGAATCAAATTAAAACATTCGGACTTCAGTCAGACCCAGGTCCTTGTCTGAGCATTAACGAGGCCTCTGGGTCACTTTACCCACAAAAAACTGACTTTTGCCACTGGATGAGCAGCTCCTTTATGTCTCTTAGGTTTAGAACAAAAAGAACCTAACTATGGAACTTGTCAAGAAGGACATAAGCCTGGCCGGTGTGGCTCAGTGGTTGAGCATCGATCTATGAACCAGGAGGTCATGGTTCAATTCCCAGTCAGGGCACATGCCCGGGTTTCGGGCTCGATCCCCAGTGGGGGGCATGCAGAAGGCAGCTGGTCAATGATTCTCTCGCATCATTGATGTTTCTATCTCTCCCTCTCCCTTCCTCTCTGAAATCAATAAAAATATATTTTTAAAAGCACTATTTAGAAAAAAAAAAAAAGAAAGGACATACACAATATTAACCACAGGCAGAGAAGTATGCAAAGGTATGCACACCTTTCTGTGAACAGGTAAGTAGAAATTGGTTTTTGTTGTTGTTGCACATGCTGGCTGGGCTAGAAATTTTTTTTTAAGAACCTGCATGCAAAGAGGAAGCAGCCTCTATTTCCAGCGCCCCCTCAATAGGCTATGACATCCCTACAGATAAAACAATACTTTATAACCTGAACATGGCCTGATGGCCACAGGACATAGGGCTCTATATTCCCTCGCACTGAGGTTAGGAAGCTCAGCAGCAGCAGGTCCGGTTACAGGAAACACAGGGGTTATTTAGTGTGGCTGCCGTTCCTTCCCAAAATCCATTCTCCCTTCTCCTGTCCTGTGAACGAACCCAACATTTTGGCCAGGTCTATTATCACCCAACCAAAAGGCTACATGTCCTAGGCTCCCCTACAACCAGGAAGGCCATGTGACCAGATTCTAGTCAATGAATTAAGGAGTGGAAGTGAACTTAGAAACTTTTGGGAAGTCTCCTAAAAGGGGAGGGAAAACGTCTCTCCTCTTTCCTCCCCACCCAGCTGCGGAGGGCTAGATGGAATGCAGATGTGGCAGCTGTAGCCTCAGGTGCTATCACTGACCATAAGAATAAAGGCCACAACCTAGAGGTGGCAAAATAATGATCAGAAGGGGACTGGACCCGCCTACTTTGTGGAACTGTCCCACCAGTCCTGCCTGGCTTGCCTACTCTAGTCTTCTTTTATGAGGAAAATAATTACCTTCTCTTATAGAAGCCCTATTATTTGGAGATTCTCAGTTACGCGCTACCACACTTAATCCTAACTGAATAGTTTTAAAGAGAATTTCCTTTAGCTTCCGATTTGCCTGTGGGTCAAAGATGGTCACTTGCGCTTTGTTAACTTACTGCTTCATCATCGATAAAGGAGGCATCTGAAGCAATTTCCTGGGGGGGTACCAGGGTCGGGTCCTGTACAGGATAGTAGCCACCACTGTAATAATCCTGCAGCCAAGGGGAAAAAAAAGCACATCAACTGAGGGCACAGTGGAGAGGGAACAAGGTCTGCCCAGGAACTGAGAAAACCCTCATCAAAGAGGTAATGGTGACACCCACACTACAGAGCTCAGGTGGACCAGTTAAAGGCACAGAGCCTAAGGACCTCTCCCACAATTCAAGAACAATTTCTGCAGCTTTTCTGATATGCATCATCCAGACAGATGGGAACTTTTTAGGAAAGGGTGACAAAAAATAAAGATGTTCTCTCCTGCTTCAGTTTACACCCTGCTCCCTAGGCTGCTTCCCAAGAGTGATTCCCACCCTTTACATCTACTGTGCCCCCAGCTCTGCTCCTCCTGCTCATAAGACCCTAATAAGCTCTGATGTGAGAAGGGGCAGAAGATGTGAGGGCATGTCATTCCTGCTCCTCATTCTATTTAGGGCCTCTAGACACAGGGAGACTGCCTACAATGAATGGGCAGGAAGGCTTCCGGATCTCTGATGCAAAAAACAACCACTATATGGAATTTACAAAGCTGGGAACAAAGCAAGTTTGTGTTACCAGATTTTTGGTCCAGGAATACACTATATGGAATTTACAAAGCTGGGAACAAAGCAAGTGTTACCAGATTTTTGGTTCAGGAATCTGATGCTTCTCCCCTTAGGGGTGAGCTATGCAGATGTCATTGTGGACCCTAGAAGAAGGCAAGGCCCCTGCCGAAGCCAAGCCAGGCAGCCATAGGGCTGAGAAACTGTGTCTACCCTGCCCACACTTTTTCTAATCCTTCCACCTTTGCTCCAAATTCCAAACAAATGCCCCTGTAAGAACATTCATTTTATAGTGAGCTAAGTGAAAAATAAGGTTTAATGATGACTAAATCGAAATACTATATAGAAATCCAGAACAATTATGATTTTCCATAAAAGTACAGTTGGCCCTTGAATAACAGGAATTTGAACTGCATGGCTCCACTTACATGTGGATTTTTTCCAACACTGTAAATGCATTTTCTCTTCTCTAGCTTACTTTATTGTAAGAATACAGTATATATAATACATATAATATATAAAATATGTGTTAATCAACTATTTATGTTTATCAGTAAAGCTTCCAGTCAACAGTAGGCTAATAGTAGCTAAGTTTTTGGGGAATGGAAAGCTTTAAGAGGACTTTTGACTGTGCAGGGAGGAGGGGGCATCAGCCCCCTAACCTTCTCCTTGTTCAAGGATCAACTGTATTCACAATAACATATTTACATTACAGGGTCCCCCAGTGTATTTAAAGTGCCTTAATTGCATAGACTGCCTCAATGATGTTTATAACTGGACAGAGAACTCCATTTTGTTATTCATTTGCTGGATGTAAACAAGGTTTCTGATTTAAATAGCATCTTTTTTCTTTTTTTTTTTTCCTAAAAAGGTCAAAACACTCTCATCTTCCTTCCTTCTAACAATGTTTAGGGAAGACAGATTGTCCCTGATTAGCTATGGGATACAACAAGGTTTAACAGCCAATATCTAGGAAACACAATTGTTTGAGTTTCTGATCTGAAAGGGTCCCTACCCATGCCCAAACTGAAAATAAGATTAACACTGACCAGAGAATCACAGTGGTCGAAAGGGACTTAAGCCTTCCAACCATCCCAGGCCAGCAGGAAACGTTCTACAGCTGCCCAGCTGGGACCAGCCAGCCAGCTGCCTCTGCAAGTCCCCAAACTCCTGGGATCCCTCTCCATCTAAAGAAGCTCTGACTGCTGGGAAAGTCTTAAACCTATTCACAAGCCGGCACCCTGTACTGTTACTCTCTGAGGCCACACAGAACAACCTAAATAGCTAATCCAAATAACATCTGAATAAAATGTTATAACATTTATTGAGCATTTACTATGTTCCAGGTACCATGTTAAGCTAATGTAATTCTCCTAGCAATCCTGAGGTTGCCATTGTCATCCCCATTTAACAGCTGAGGAATCTGAGACTCAGAGATAGTTGAGGATTTGCCCAGACTCATAGCTTGGGATTCAAACCCTAAACCACCCTCAAACCTCATTCTCTATCACAGCCCAGCTGATAGCCCCATAATGTCCCCTCTCCAGGGCCTTATATCCCCATTTAACAGCTGAGGAATCTGAGACTCAGAGACAGTTGAGGATTTGCCCAGACTCATATAGCTTGGGATTCAAACCCCAAACCACCCTCAGACCTCATTCTCTATCACAGCCCAGCTGATAGCCCCCTAATGTCCCTTCTCCAGGGCCTTACTGGGTCCTTTCAACTTCTCATGACTCAGTCGGGGCCTCTCACCAATCTCCTTATTCCCTTGTCATTCAACAATCCAGATCCCCTCCTTCCTTCCCAGTCCCACCTCTCCCCTTCCTTTCTGTGTTCTCTGACCTTTCACCTCCAGAAACTCTTCTTGGACTCATTACAACTAGAAATCTAGGCCACAGTTCACTCATCTTCATCATCCACATCTGCACAGCTATCTTGATCTCTAAGATTAGAGACCACTCCTCTTCCACCTTCTCCCTATCTCTCACCAGCCCCTACAATAGGATTTTGTTTTCAGAATAAAGGTGTCAATTATGTGGTTCTACCTGTCAGACTTCAAGACTTGGGAAATTTTAGCCCAATATGGTTCAGAATAAAAGTAGTATGTTTTGAGGCCTGAAGGTATAGGAAAACCACTAGGATGTTTTTTAGTTCAGCCAAAGTGATGCCCCAGAGGCTGTAGCACGGACTCAAAGCTCTCCCTGACCGCCATGCTCCTACTTTCAGCCAAAGTGATGCCCCAGAGGCTGTAGCACGGACCGCCATGCTCCAACGATCCCTCCTACCCACCTGATAATAAGCACCAGCGGCATTGGCATCGCCATATGTGGAGAACTGACAGTAGCTGTAGTCGTCCCCAGGCTTGGGCATCCAAGGGGCCCCACTTGAGCCTGCTGCCATCTTGAATTCGAGGGGCGCATTGGCTGCGTCATCCTGGAAGGCGGGTTCTGGTTCCGTGCCTGGAGGCAGCTCTTCAGGGACAGAGGGAATGGGGTAAGGGTATGGCTCAACTCCAGGTGGCTCAGCCTTGTCAGGGAGGGAGAAAAAGTTCTCAGGGGCTACTTCTTCATCACTGTCGTCCTCCTCCTGTGTGATCTGCTTCGTCACCTGCAGGGCAGCACTCTTGGCAGCAGCCTTGATGGCGGAGGGCGACGGCGTGGTGGTTGTGGTGCCCACAACAGGGGCAAGAGAGGAGGGCTTGGTCTTAGAAGCCTGCCTGGAGGGCTTAGTGTCAGAGGAGCCATCCGAGGGTTTCCGAGAGAAGGCATGGGGCAGGAGCAACCTGTTAGTCTCTTTCACAGTCAGGTTTTTAGGTTGGGGAAGCAAGGCAGACAAACCAGTCCCCTGGCCAGATCCCTGGTGAGCCCGGTTCAGGGAAGCCGGAAAGAAAGATGACAAGTGAACTGTTATGACATGTACTGCTAACGTCAAGAACAAGAATTACAGATATGTGCTCGAGCCTAAAACCTTATCAGCCCTGTTGCCTTCTCACCTTCACCTACTCCAGTGATCCAACCTGGGCCTAACTCCTATCTTAGTCCCTTCTTTTCTGCTGGCTGCTTCCCCCAAGATGTCATCCCTGTTTTCCTTGGCTCCATCCCTACCCAGCTCCATTGCCCTCTGCCACAGAGCCTCCCTTGATTGTGTTTTTGTCAAATATGATGCTCTCAACCTCATCATCCTTCTTCCCCAAAAAGCCCAGGGCTCTCTCCAGCTATTCACCTAACCTCTCTCCATGTCCTGAAGGTTCCTCTTCACATGGGAACCTGCTGCTGCCTTTGGATTGCTCTAAAGTCAAGAACAAGGCTCTGTCCAAGAGACATTCATACATGTTGCCAAATGGTCCCTCCTTTGCCCAGGAAAAGCCCTAAAGATGTGTTACATTCAGCTCATTTATGTCAGAGTCAAGCATTTAACATATCATAGACTCTCTCAGATTCTGCTTTCTGTATGCTACAGGGCCAGCCTGGCCTAACTGTAAGGCTGCGGGAAGGCCAGTTTGAAAAAGGAGAATGGAATAAGGTCACTGGTCTTGGAGGACCAGTGTACTATATCCCTCTCAGCCAAGAAATGCCCAGAACACATAAATAAGATTTGCAGTCAAGCAGGCCAGGCCGAACTTTTCATCAGGAAAATGGGCTCCTTTCCCTGTGTTCACAGGTTTGGGTCACTCCAGCCTGACACAGCCCAGAGGCTCGGAGTCATAGGAACCGGAATGAGGTTCCATATGGAGCACATCCTCAGGATAGCTCTGAAGGGTCTGACTTCTCAGATGACACCTGGATTCATGGCTACATCCCTTTGCAATGATGGGTCCCCACTCTGCCTTCAAGTTGAGAGTTTCTCTAACCACTCGTCTCTTCCTACCACCCCGAGGACTGCTCTTTACACTGGGGTGCCCTCTGATCCGAGCCAGCGTCCTCCCATCACTTTCTATGTCCGTCCACCTCCTCCAGGAAGCCATGTTGATAGCATGGTCCTACATGTGAAGTAAACAGGAAGAAAATTTTGGGAGCCAGAATAAAGAAACGGGGGCGGGAAAACAAAGAAAACAGCAGAGACCATCTCCTGGCACCGGCTGGTTGAGGACCTCTGGTCTTGACTACGGAGCAGCAGCCAAATGTAACAGTTAGGAGCCTGGACCCCATAGTCAGACCACCTGAGTCTAATCTCAGCTCTCCAGCCCTGCCTCGCCCCTCACAATTGTCTGACCTTCAGCAAGTTCTTTAATCTCTCAGTTTCCTCCTATGTAACACAAGGATGATGATAACATCCTTGACAGGCAATATTATAAGGATTAAATCAATTAAATGCTACTAAAGCACTTAGAACAGTGCCTGGTACACAGTAAGTGCTATTGAAGTGTTTATTTTCTAGTTTAAAAATGAGACAAGGAGAAGATGAATAATTTTAAAATACAGATGTTCTCGAAACAAACTCATTAATACAGAGAACAAATGGATGGTTGCCAGATGAGAGGGGGGTTGAGGGGCTGGATGAAAAGGTGAAGGGATTAAGAAATACAAATAAGAGTTATAAAATAGTCATGGGGATATAAAGTACAGCATAGGGAATAGAGTCAATAATATTGTAATAACTATGTATGATGTCAGGTGGGTATTAGAAAGGTGTGATCATTTTCTAAGTTATATAAATGTCTAATCACTATGTTGTACACCTGAAACATAACACTGTATGTCAACTTTAATGGAAAAATTAACATTTTAAAAATAAATTACAGATGTTCCCTAACATCATTTTGACCAATCCATTGTTTCTATCTTTCCTAGATAATCCTTTTACCTGAAACATAGTGAATCAAACTGAGCTCAATCCATCTCCCTACCACTACCTGTCCTGTAAGAGGTAACACTACCACACTACAGTGAGGAGAGGGCAGAGAAGCACAAAGTCTGATGTTATCAAAGAAAACAAAATCGTACTGAAATAGTTGGTCCTCAAATGCCTGCGTTTGTTCTAAGCCTGATTTGGAAACTGCTGGGCATCGTAAATCCTGTCTTTTAGGAAGTAATATGGGAAGAGAAAAAAATGGCTGCCATTGTGTCATGAAGCTTACCTGAAGGACAGTTTTCTTCTTTGTGGGTTCATCTTCCTCGGAATCTGACTAAGAGAAAAAGAAATGGAATAAGGCCTCGCTGTTTAAGGACAGTGGGGGAAACATTCAATACAGCACGTGTGTAGGACTGTGTCCACCTCCGGCAAGGGCACCCCCACCCTCAGCCCAGGCCACCAGCAGAGCTCCCGTCCTGCTTTCACACATCTTCAGAGAACGGGGGATGTGCTGACCTCCCCTGGTCTTTCATTCTCTTACCCTGTTGCACCAATTTCTATTTCTTTATATTAAAACTATTTTCTCCCATTTAGTCTTTGATGGAAATAAAAAGCTATACCCATTCTTCTTCCTATAAATCTGTCCACTAGAAGATGAATGGGATTTGGCCCACAATCTCACCTAATCTCAGCTTCATTTCTAAAACCACTTATATAGACTATATAACCACAGGGCTGGGGAACTCCTGTGGGATTAAGTGGTGTGTTAACTACTCTTCTATGAGGCATTAAAGGTCAAAGCCATTGGAGAAATCCATTCCCTCTCCAAGTATGATCTATTATCTGCTGAACAGTTGTTCGTGTCCAGAAAGAAGGCTAGCAAATGATGACTGTGAGAATTTGGGCAAGACAGAAGGTCATCTGTATTATCCCTCTGACTCATCAGAACTGTTTCAAATACAAGCTCTCACACTGGAAAATATCTTAAACTTTTAACTCAATACTAATTCTTAGTATCTTAGTATCAACTACCAGAAAGATGCAAAGCATATGAACAGCAAGCTTTAACATTTCATTTTTAAAAGTAATCCCAAACCAAGAACCTTAAAAGCTTTCCATCTGTTCTCAGGACCTTGATTTGGGCATCTATAAATAAAGATGATTAGGCAGGAATCACCTCCAAGATTCTACACAAATTCAAACCCTCTGCTTATCTTTTTCAACTGACCTTCCCATCTCTCTTTCTGGATTTGTCTGCTATCGGATCTTTTTTTTTTTTAAATAATATGTTTTTATTGATTTTAGAGAGAGAGGAAGAGGAAGAGAGGAAGAGAAACATTGATATGAGAGAAACATTAATAGGTTACCGCCCTTACACACCTCGACTGGGGATCACACCCACAACCTGGGTGTGTGCCCGACCATGAATCAAACTGGCGACCTTTCGGTGGATGAGATGACGCTCAACCAACTGAGCCACACCAACCAGGGCTACCAGGGTATTTTAATCATCATTACTGAGAACCTATTATAGGTCCTGACTGAGTAGCTCTGTTGGAGTGTCATCCTGATACGCCCAATTTGGGGGTTCAATCCCTGGTCAGAATCAAGCAATAAATGCATAAATAAGTACAAAATATCAATGTTTCTCTCTCTAAAATCAATCAATCAACCAATAAAAAGAACCTATTCTATGCAGGACTGAGTGCTAGATAGTGTACACAGGGCTTCCCGACTGGTGTCCCATGGCTGGGTTAAAGCTATGATATGGGTCTACTCAGCCCACTGGCACCTGGCAGGGCTTGGAGTACACGGACTACAGAGGCAAGCCCTGGGCCAGGTAGTCAGTGTGCCTCAGAGGTTTTCTGTATGTGCCAGGACATGACAAAAGTCCCTTCCCTCAAGGAGCTTACAGTCTGGTAAGAATAATGACAAGCACCCAAATAACTAATAACTAAAGGCAGTAAGAGTTAAGGGCATCAAGTGTGGTTCAGATATGCCTTCAAAGAATCTGTTGTTCTTACATTTGTGCTTTCTTTCATCTAAGTCCCTCGCCTTCTCTCTCCCTGTACCTATATCACTACCACCACCCACTCTCCTGTCAATCTGCACCCCTGTACTTCCTCATTCAAAAGTCCTGAGAAGTCTTCCGGGCAAGTCTCACTTGTTCTTTCTGACTCGGTGTCATTCATCTGTTGAGGTCGGTCACACTAACCCTGATTTATTTGTGCTTGCTTTGGAAACGTTACATTTTTCATGTGTACGTTCTCTCCTTGCCTCGCCTCTGATAGCCAAGGCCCTATAGTTCAATATTGCCTCAGAGTAGTCAGTACATAATAATTTTTTTAAATTTATTGACTTGAGAGAGAGAAAGAGAGAGGAAAGGGAGAGATAGAGAGAGTTAGAGATACATGTGAGAGAGAGAGAGAGAGAGAGAGAGAGGGAAGGGAGAGAGGGAGAGAGAGATAGAGAGAGTTAGAGATACATCAATTTGCATTCATTGGTTGATTGTTGTATGCGCCCTGACTGGGGATCGAACCCACAACTTTGGCTTATTGGGATAACACTCTAACCAACTGAGCTACCCGGCCAGGGCCATAATGACTTTAATTATTAAGTGCTGTCAAATATATGTGAGGGATAAGATAGGGTGGTAAAGGAAAGGACAGCCATCTGCTGAGTCCCTGCTATGTGTCAGGCAATTTACGCACAATCGTTCATTTAATCCTCACAATAACATTTCAAGGCAGGCATTAGTATCTCAATTTTACGGGTTAAGAAAAATAAGGCTCAGAGAGGTCAAATATGACTGAATCCGTTCTGGCTCCCATGTTTTTGCAGCAACATCAAGCTGAGCTGTCCGTGTTTGTCCAGGTTTGAGATCCACACTGACCAGATCCTACGAGATTCCACAAGACTCAGCCAAGAAAGCACCACCCATAGAGTCAGAAATACAGGTTTGAGTCTCAGCTTTGCCACTTACTGGGTAGGGAATCCCCCAATAAGCCATTAAACTAACTCTCTAGGCCTCAGTTGGAAATACTTATCCATGTCACAAAGATGTTCTAGAGATTGCAGGAGCTGCTCTGAGAGAAAATGTATACAGTAAATATTCAAAAGAGGTCAAGGATTATTCTCTCTAGTCTGCCAAGTTGTCAAACTCAACCAAAGAAAAAGCCTTAAGCCCCAAACACCTAAGCATTTTCAACCTTTTCTCTCAGTTCCACAAACTCCCATTGCCTCAGGTCTTCCTGATCATCTCCCATCTTTTTACCACGAAGGTTTATCTTCCTTCCAGCAGACCACAGAGTACCACCCCATTATGGGGTATACCAGGGTCTCATGAAGTCCCCAGGCACGTTTAAACTTTAACATCTTAGCCCTAGCCTGTTTGGCTCAGTGGATAGAGCGTCGGCCTGCGGACTAAAGGGTCCCAGGCATATGCCCAGGTTGTGGGCTCAAGCCCCAGTAGGGGATGTGCAGGAGGCAGCCGATCAATGATTCTCTCTCATCGTTGATGTTTCTATCTCTCTCTCTCCCTCTCCCTTCCTCCCTGAAATCAATACAAATATATATATTTAAAAAAAAAACACACAAGTTTAGATACCACTCAAAACACTTCTGGGCATGTGGGGGCCTGATTGAAAACTAACAGGAAACAGAAGGAAAGCTCCGCAAGGAATTATCCAAATATTCACAAAAGGTAATACATTTTGGTGTAGAGTTCCAAAAAGCAGAGCGATGAGTAATCCAAATGATAAAAGATGTCATATAGTCTCCTGTCACCCTGGGAAGGATGGAAGGAGGAGGAAATACAGCTGCCTTGGAGCATTTGAAAAGAAAATCAATTCAGCTTCTATCGAGAACTGGCTAGAAGCAATGGGCTTAGCTTAGGCACACGGTACTTAACTTAGACTCAAGGAGAACTTCCTTGATGGTGAGAGGTACAGAAGCATATCGGGGGTTTTTCTTTATCATAGTAAAATACATATAACATAAAATTTACCACTTAACCACTTAAGTGTACAATTCAGTGGCATTAAGTACATTCACAATGTTGTATAACAAACACCACTATTTCCAGAACTTTTTTTTAATATATATATATTTTTATTTCAGAGAGGAAGGGAGGAGAGAAAGAAACATTAATGATGAGAATCATTGATAGGCTGCCTCCTGCACCCCCCTCCCCCACTGGGGATCGAGCCTGCAACCCGGGCATGTGCCCTGACCCGAAATCGAACCATGACCTACTGGTTCATAGGTCGACCCTCAACAACTCAGCTATGCCGGCCAGGCTTCAGACCTTTTTCAACATCCCAAACAGAAACTCTGTACCTACTAAATGATAACTCCTC